AGTGTTTGCAAAAATCCCTTTCAACACATCCCCAACATTTTATTTGGAAAATCTCTAACTTTTTTTTCGAATGAAAATAAATAAATCGAGATACACTCTGCTCTCACCCTTTTGACGGCAAAGATTGTGTCATCATTGGGTATGTGAATTCCCAAACACCCACACATACACAATGTTGTTAACAACATTCTTACAACCCCCAACTCAATACAACTCAACGACAATACAGGACTTGTTTGCATTGTTGCATGACGAATACAACACAGTCAGACGCGTTCATTTCGTTGTGTTGTGACAAGGACATGAGCTGCAGACAAAATCGCAACCACAGCAGACAATTTGTTCGACAATACGGCGTCTTTGATGTCATCATTAGCCTCCCATTCCCCCTACCCGCAAAATGACTTGTATTGAGGGAGGGGGTATACGGAAAAATGGCTAACTTTCCATACCCTTGAGGCATTCATTTACGCATCCATATGAACATTGTTGTAACATTGTCATTATCACTATTTTTCAGCATAGTGTTGCCATGAGAATGTCGATTTTTGACCAAAAAATTTTTAAAGGAAGAAAAAAACAAGTAAGCAAGGGCTACAGTCGAGCGGGGCCGACCGTTGAATACCCTACAACACTATAATAAACGATGCAGTTTATATAGGCGAGATACTCGAAAGAATTCCACAAGATATTGTGACAAATAATAAAAGAAATCCATCAGGTTTCGTTCTCTAATTTTGAATAATAGCAACTTTAACTAATTTGCTCATTTCCAATTTATTGGTAGATGTTGCACTTAAATAGTCTTCCTAGATCTGGAATCAATATTTCCCCAAGACCTATAATCTCTCAGAAGTGGCAAAAGATTAACATTTATTATTAGTTTTTGACTGAAATGCATCTATATGAGATACAGACATTTGACTATATTCTTCAACGAAATCAGCGTTAACGACATAGTCAGAAGTGTGTCTTTCCTGTATTTGTGAATTCTCCAAAAAGTCACTGGAATGGACATTTTCGTATTTTGTCTAAAAAATTTGGCAATGCCAGTAACCCCCATTCAAATGTGCGTGAGGATCGGGCAATAATAGCGACCTTCTGACAATTTTGCAGTTTTTTTGGTCCATTTCAACCCCTAAATATATGGCGATTATCTCCAAAAATAGTAGGCTTCTATTCTGACCCTCATCTGATCCCCATGCAAAATTTTGTTAGGATCGGGCCATAAATGCGATCTGTTTTGTTAGCTGTAGAAATATTACCAAATGTTTAATTCAAAATGAAAATATGCCAAAAATGTGACAAAATTGAAAAAAATATAAGAAAATGTTACAAAATCAATATTTTCATCTTTAGAGAGATATTTTTATGCGATTTTTTAGACGTTGTTTCTTTCCTGCCTATAGGCCATTCTGAATTAATGAGAACTGTCGAAATCAGTTCAGCCGTTCTCGACATATAAGAGATTTTTCAAGCATATCTTCTTTGATAGACATATATATCGCACATATTTTCCTATATCTCCGTTTTGTTGGATGTTAACATCAATATAAAGATCAGGTGTAACCTTGTCATGGCTTTGTGATTTCGCCGCGATTTAAAATATTCGCGGTTTAATGAAAAATTTTGAATTTTTGCAACACAAAAGATATGGTCTATTTTACCCGCTAAATATTATCCGATGACCACCCAAATTGGTAGGTTTCTTCCCCGCCCTAAACTCTAGCTACATGCGAAGTTCCGCGTCGATTGGTCTATAATTGCGACCTGTATAGCTACTGCAAAATCCGACATTTTTTCAGTTTTTGGTCCATTTCGACCCCTAAATATTATGCGATCATCTCCAAAAGAAATAGGGTTCTATTCTGACCTTAGCCCCACCTCCATTCCAAATTTCGTGAAGATCGGGCCATAATTGCGGCCTGTAAGAGTGATTACAAATTAACATGGACAGACGGACAGACGGACAGACGGACAGACGGACGGACATACATAGCTAGATCGACTCAGCTCGGCGAGCTAGGAAGATCCATATATACTTTCCTATGTGGGAAACCAATATTTCGAGGTGTTACATAATTTTTGGCCCAATCAAACTTATAATACCCCCAACACATAGTGTTGTAGGGTATAAAAACATAACTTGACTAACGAATTCTTCAACGCTTATACAAAATTACTGAAGCACGGGTAAGTCTTGGTGCGTAGGCGTGTGATAAGGAAATTCGCACGAAAAGTATACAAAAGGTACTAAAAATTGAATACTTTTTATTGTACGAAAAAAATGAGCTAGAATTCTAAAATTTGCAGGATAGATGTACCAAAGGATTCTTGGAAATTCGAACTTTAAAGTTACGAAAAGTGCAAAAATGTTACTTAAGCTTTAAAATGGTACCATTTGGTATTATGTGAACGGATAGAGCCATGGTAAAATTAAGAAGGTAAAGTCATATCAAATAAGCACACCCATCTCTGCATTTTCTGTAATTTACCCTGCCACATTTAAATGCAGAAAAACAGGTTTCCATCTCTGATTTGTATATGTACAATGGATTTATAAATACAAATTTTGACAATGAGATGTTGTCAAATGAATAATTTTTGAAAAATTTGTAAACATATGATTGCATGACTTTACCTCCTTGATTCTACCATGGATAGAGCTAAAAACTTGAAACTTGGTACGAGAATCAAGCTTGATATATGAAGGAGGTTTTGGTGTGCGAACTGTACTAAATGGTACTAAAATTGGAACATTTTAGTTAAGGGTGAACAGATGAAGCTGTAGTTTTGAAATGTTGTATTGGGGGTTGGTTGGAGGTTTGAAATAAATGGAATTGGAAATGTGTACTACAAGTGCACGAAAAGTACAAAATAGTACTATATTTGGTACAATTTAGTATCGGGTGAGCAGATAGTTTTTGAAATCTGATATTTAGTATTAGGTTTGCTGTTCATCCTGGATGTATGGAGTTGGTTTCGGAAATGTGTGATATAGTTGTTCGAAAAGTATTGAATAGTACTATTTTATACCCTCCACCATACTATGGAGGGTATATTAATTTTGGAGGGGTATAATAATTCCGTTTGTAACTCCTCGAAATACTCATGTCAGACCCAACAAAGTATATATATTCTTGATCAGCGTAAAATTCTAAGATGATTTAGCCATGTCCGTCTGTCTGTCTGTCTGTCTGTCCGTCTGTCTGTTGTAATCACGCTATCTTTCGAACAAATTGAGATAGAAAGCTAAAATTTTGCACACATGTATATTTCGCCAGTAGGCAGGTTAAGTTCGTAAATGGGCCATGTGGGTCCAAGTTATCATATATCCCCCATATAACGGTACCTCCCGATATTTGGTATTTTGATGATTTTAGCGACATTATTCACCGGAATTTTTTTCAAATTTGGCATTTGAAGTTCGTAATGGATACTTCAGCCTAAGACAGAAAATAATCTGTGTAGGTCCACGTCTTCGTATAGCCCCTATACCCCCCGATATTCGGTATTTTGACGATTTTAGCGACATTATTTAACGGAATCGTTCCAAATTTGGTATTTGAAGTTCGTAATAGATACTGCAGCATAAAACAGAAAAAGTGCCATGTAGGTCCACGTCTTCGTATAGCCCCCATATACCATACCCCCCTGATATTAGGTATTTTGATGTTTTTAGCGACATTATTTACCGGGACTGTTTCAAATTTCGCATGTGAAGTTCGTAATGGATACTTCAGCCCATGCCAGAAAATTGTCTGTGCAGGTCCGGCCGAACTTACAGCTTTTTTACTTGTTTTTGTATTGGGTGAAGGGATAGAGATAAAATTTTAAATTTGATATTTAGATTACTGATGGTATCTGTGTTTGAGATTTGGCAACGGCTTGGAAATATGTCCTATATATGTACAAAACGTACTAAATTTTACAAAATTTGGAATTGGGTAAAGGAATAGAGCACGATTTCTGAAATTGAATATGGAAAAATTGAATGTCTGTTGGTATCTGAGATTGAGATATGGAGGTCTTTTTTGGAGTCTTGAAAAGTACTAAATTATACTAAACTTAGTATTGTGTGCAAGAATAGAACTGAAATTTAATATGGGTGTCACGGTTGGTGTCAGAGGTTGTGAGAGGAGCAGAAAAAGCTGAAATCCTGACATCACTATTGGTGTCTGACATTGAGATATTACGGTTGTTTTAAAAAAGCGTCCTATATTTGTACGAAGAGTGCTCAATGGGACTAAATTTGGTATTGGGTGAAGGAATAGGGCTGGAATCCTCAAATTTGATATGGAGGTTTCTGTTGATATCTGAAATATAGATATGGAGGTTGTTTTGGATATGTGTACTATAATTGTAAGAAAATTACTTAATAGTACTAAACTTGGTATTGGAGAAAGTAAAAGTGCTGGAACCCTGAAATTTGATATGGATATCACTTTTTGTGTCTGTGGTTGAGAGAAGGGCTGATTGTGGAAGTGCGAAATATGAACGTACGAAAAGTACAAAATGATCGAAATGCGCCATTTGGTATAGAGGTCACTGTTGGTGTCTAGGGTGGAAAGAAGAAAGTGGGTTTGGACATGCATGGTATAACTGTACGAAAAATATGGTAAATTGGACATGCATGGCATGGTAATTTGGAATTGGGTGTAAGGACAGAACTGGAATTCTGACATTGACATGGAGGCCACTCTTGATATATAGTTTTGAGAAAAAGAGGTGGATATGGGAATACGTACTATGATTGTTCGAAAAGTACTATTTGGTAATAAAATTTGTCGTTGAGTCAATGATTCCTGAATTTTGATACCTAGGTCTCTGGTGGTTTCTAGGACTTAGATATGGCGGTGGCCAATTTTTTTTATGAAAAGATGTGGAAAAAGTTTTGCCCAGAGAAATTGGATGTGGAAACATTGTGCAAGAATTTAACTAGTATACCTTTCGAAAGTAAATATTTTTCGATTATCCCTTTCTATGAAAAGTTGAAAGTATGAAGTTTTGTTCGGAAATTTTATTCAAGAAATAATATACAAATTATGAATTTTGAGTACTAAAATGAACTGGTGGAACGAATCTAAAATTTTAACTTGCTAGTAAACCCATGCTTCATATTCTGGACAAAACCTCGCATGCAGTGTCCATTAGGACCACAAAAATAATACTATTTAAACATGGAGAAATATTTAAAAAAAATAATAATAATAATAAATCCACGTTTGTAGTGTCCATTGGGGTCTTAAGAATATATAAAGCTCATCATTGCCCTTCATTCATATAAAGCATCCAACTTTTAGAGCATTTCCCCAAATCAGCAACTCTGGTCCAAAAATTTAATGGCTATGGTGGTTGTTGTGATTATCATTGTTGTGATTTTCATGGCTCACCACCGACAACGAGTCATTTTCCAACAATCAACGATTGCCATTTGGGGACTTTGATAGTCAGAGCATTGTTCTACGGGATTGTGGTGTGTATAGCCAATTCGTTCACCGCCCGATTAACGTTTCTCCTTTTCCGATAACCGAACAAATGTAATTCGGATTGTATTGCTAAAACAAGTGAATTGAGGTTAATTGCTGGCGAGGACATTTCGTTCAAATAAAATGGATACCAATTGATTTTTGTGATATGCTGCTGCTCAACGATATTTGCAGAATCAAATAACCCCGGAAAAAGAGTAAAGCAACATTGTTGTAACTTAACACCCTTGTGTTCAAATATCTTGTAGTCTAAGGGTGAGGTTGGCCTTAGAGTGCACATAAAAATTTATGACATCCATCAATGTTAATTTGTAGCAACAACGTTCGGCATTAGTTTATGGCTAAGACATTGACATGTTACACCAGAAATTCAGAACATTTTGGTTTAATGACTCGCACTAATGGACACCGCGACATGGATATGGCATTAGAGCTACAGCAACAATGTTGTCAAGTACTTTTTATGGTTGTGGGAATACATTGTCGGCTCCGTATTGAGAACATTTTTGAACTTTAAAGATTCTTCATAAAATATTTGTTATGAAAGACTTTGGACGAGATTGAGACAATTTAAGTTGAAAGGAGAGGTACACTCAGGAAAAAGTTAATTTTAGCCTTCCTTCCCTTTATCTCTTTTTCCAATATTCCTCAAACATATAATTTTACTTATTATCCTCACAGGACTTTCTTAATCTCTTGACATTCATTTATTTTTCTTGATTCCTTGGAAAAAGCTTTGCGGATTTCAATTTTTTTTTTGTTTCCTTTTTTCATCATTTGCAGTTCCACCGACAACACTGCCAACAGTGAAGATGTCACCACCACCAGCAATAATTCAACACAGACACCGAGTGATCTTAGCCCACCGGGACCAAATGAGGAAGTTCTACCACAGGCACATCATCAAAATCCAGGACATTGTGTGGCATCGTTTGCAGCGATTAATCAAATGCGTACAAATGCTCAGGTAATGTTAATAATACAACGAAGGCAATAAAATACAATTAATTTCTAAATTATATTTAATATCCTTGTCAATGAAAGACAGAAGGAATCAACGAATAAGAACAAACAAAGAAAACATTATAAATTAATTTTCCTACAACAAAGACAGCAGATGATTTTAATTTCTACCTAAACTGACAATAAAAGAAAAAAACACATACAGTAAACGCGGGTGATAATGTGATATTGCTGCATTTCAGCAAGGCCTTGAATGTATTCTTATAAGATTTCCAAGGCATAGAAATAAAAGAAAAAATTTTGCAATTTGTTTTATTTCATTAACTCTTAGAAGTCGGACCCTGAAAATATTTTTAAAAAATTTGCAACAATAGGGCTTTGGGGTAAATAGTCAAAAAATGGTGGTTTGAAAGGCCCCAAATGATCTTGACCATATTCTTTAAAGGCATTAGCTGCAATATTAAAATATTAGTAAACCAGTAAAGAAAGTCCTAAAGTCGGGCGGGACCGAATTTTTGATACCCTACACCACTTTGATAAATTAGTAGAGCTCCACATAACAATTAAAAGTTTTTATGGGAGAATTCAATCATACATCCTATGATTATAATTATAATTTAAAATTCAAAGGACTAAATATGCCGAAGCATTTGTATCTTTTAAATTCGGACTTGTATTGCCCATTTGGGGCACAATTAATTTGAAATCGGATAAAGATATATATGGGAGATATATCCAAATCTGAACCGATCTCGAAAAAAATTTGGCAAAGATATTTCTGAGCTGCATTTGATATATTTCCCCAAATATTGTTGATACAGAGTGCATATTACGGCTGAGGAGGACAAAAATAATAAATCGGATGAACAATATATATGGGAGCTATAGCTATATCTGAACCGATTTCGATCAAATTTGGCAAACTTATTTTCAGGCCTAATTTGATATATTTCTCTGAATATTGTTGTTACGGAGTGCATATTACGGCTGTGGGTAACAAATGCAACAAATCGGATGAACAATATATATGGGAGCTATAGCTATATCTGGACAAAAATAACAAATCGGATGAACAATATATATGGGAGCTATAGCTATATCTGAACCGATTTCGATCAAATTTGGCATACTTATTTTAAGGTTGTATGTGCAAAATTCCATAATTTTCGGCCTGATATTACACGTTTGGTGCACAATAAAAGGCAAATCGGTCGAAGATATATATGGGAGCTATATCTAAATTTTGACCGATTATTTCCAATTTCAATAGGGTTCGTCCTTGGGTCAAACAAATGATATGTGCAAAATTTCATCTCAATCGGATAATAAATGCGACCAGCATTTTGTTCACAAGAATACATGAACAGACGGACGACAGACGGACTGACATCCATAAATCAACTCAGAAAGTGATTCTATGGATATCCTCAAAAGTAACTATGGGTCTATCTCGCTTGCATCTCCATGTTACAAACAAATGCACAAAGACATAATACCCTTACCACTATGTGGTGTAGGGTATAAAAATGCATTGTTGCAGGTCCCTGAATGACCTTATATCTATATATGTATGTCAAACCTAGCAAGTCTTTAAAAATTTCTCAAAAATCCCTTTTTTGTATTTCTCTGCTAAGATTTTAAACTAATTATATTCTCAGGGAGCCCTTAAAAATAATTAAAAATCTCTTTTTAAAAAATCTGCGTTTCTAGAGATCAGCAAGGCTTTCATTCAACATTATTTAAAATCCAACAAAATTGTTATGAAAATATTAAAAAAAAAAACTTTCATTAAAATTCTTGTCTGTCGGAATCAAAGAGATCTTAAAATAAAAATAACTCATTCTCAATACCAAACAATGTAAATAATAACGTTAGACTGTATCTCGATTTCGAATGACGGACATATTAATAAATCTACTTAGAAGTATGGGCTGATCACAAATACGACAAATATTTAGAGGTGTTACAAACGGAATGTCCTGCTTCTAAGGTGAAGGGTATAAAAATACTTTAAAAAATCAACGCTTTGAAAATACTCATAAAAATCGATGTATGAAAATATTAAAAAAACAACATTTGAAAATATTTTTAAAAATTAATGTTTCAAAAAAAGCTGTTTAAAAATCTAGGTTTGAAAAAATAAACAGAAAAAAAAACATTTGAAAAGAATATTGAAAATAAAATTATATTTAAATCTATGTATAAACAAATTAAATAATAATAATAAAAAAATCTATAGTTGAAACTTTTTGAAAAAAAGTTTGAAAATATTCTCAAAACCCCATGTTTGAAAATAATCTTTAAAAATTCACATTTTAAAATACTCTTACAAACTTATGTTTGAAAATATTCTTAAAAATCCAAATATACTTAAAAGTCCACTTCTGAAAATATTCTAAAAAATTCACGCTTGAAAAAATTAAAAAAAAAAACGCTTTTGAAAATATTCTTAAAGGATCCACTTCAAAAACAGTTTAATTCACGTACGAAAATATCGTTTTTGAAAATATTCTTAAAAAATCCAGCATTTAAAATATTAAAAAAACAGCTTAGATATATATATATTTTTTTTTAAAAAAAATCATGTTTGAAAATATGTATTTATTCTTAAAAATCCACTATTGAAGATATTCGCTTTAGGAAATATAATTAACAAGTAAAAAAGCAGTAAGTTCGACCGGGCCGAACTTTGAATACCCTCCACCATTTGGAACGAATTAGAAAATATACAAAAAAATAAAATCCATTGAAAATTCTGTTAAAATCTTTAAAATACCTAATATCGGAAGGTGCCGATATATAAGGGGGGATATACGCTATTGTGGACCTATATAGACAAATCTATGCCTGAGGGTAAAGTACTCACAAGGAACTCCTTGTGTGGATTTTCAGATATTTCCATTGTCAAATGTGGCTAAAATCATCAAAATCCCGAATATCGGGGATAGCGTTATATGGGGGATATACGATATTGTGGACCTATATAGACAAATACCTTTCAGGGGTTAAAGTGCTCACAAAAAATCCTTGTGTAGATTTTCAGAGAATACCATTCGAATATATAGCTAAAATCATCAAAATACCGAATAACGGGGGTACCGTTATATTGGGGGTTATACGATATCGTGGACCTATATAGAAAAATCTATGTCTGGGGGTAAAGTACTCACAAGGAACTACTTGTGTGGATTTTAAGACAATTCCATTGAAAAATGTGGCTAACATCATCAAAATACCGAATATCGGGGGGTACAGTTATATGGGGGATATACGATATCGTAGACCTATATAGACAATTCTTTTTTAAGGGGGTAAAATGCCCACAAGGGACTCCATTTGTGGAATTTCAGACAATTTCATTAAAAAATGTGGATAAAATAATCAATATACCAAATATCGGGGGTACCGTTATATAGGGGCCATACGATATCGTGTACCTATATAAATAATTCTCTGCCGAGGTATAAAGTACCCACAAGGAACTCCATGTGTGGGTTTTCAGACAATTCCGTTGAAAATGTGGATAAAATCATCAAAATACCAAATATCGGGGGTACCTTTATATGGGGGCTATACGATATAAATAATTCTCTGCCGAGGTATAAAGTACCCACAAGGAACTCCTTGTGTGGATTCTCAGACAATTCCGTTGAAAAATGTGGATAAAATCATCAAAATACCAAATATCGGGGGTACCGTTATATGGGGGCTATACGATATCGTGGACCGATATACCCCATCTTCGAACTTGACCTACTTGCAGACAAAAGAGAGATCTGTGCAAAATTTTAGCTTCCTATCTTAATTCGTTTAGACTGTAGCGTGATTACAACAGACGGACGGGCAGGGCTAAATCGTCTTAGAATTTTACGCTGATCAAGAATATATATACTTTGTTGGGTCTAAAATGATTATTTCGATGAGTTACAAACGGAATGACGAACTTAATATACCCTCCATACCTTTTTTGGTGGAGGTTATAAAAATAAGGTTTTTAAAAAGTCGACTCAAGAAGGGTTTGAAATATATAAAAAAATCGGCATGGCTTTAAAAATATTGTTAAAAAATCCACGATTATTGAGCATTGTTGAGGCTTTGAAATGGTTTTTAAGATCTACGTAGGTTGGAAACAAAAAGTTTAGTTTTAGTTTGTTGGATTCAATAAAATTTTGCAAATATTTTTAAAAAAAATTTAAAAAATCCTCGTTTTAGGCTTTGAAACTATTTTTTTTTTTTAATCTTTTTTTAGTCATTGAAAATATATTTTTTAAATCCACGATTAGTAGACTCAAAAAGGCATTGAAAATATTTTTTAAACATTAAATAAATAAGATCTTAAAAAAATATTTTTTGTTGTTGCAAAATTGTTAGGCTTAATACCACTATTATTGTTTCTATAAATCAACGTATGTTTATTAGTGGAGAACGATGGTAATTTTTACCAGTGGGAAAAGATAGAATAAAATTTTGGAAATATTTTTAAAAACATCCCGCTTTTAAAAATATTTAAACCAATTAAACAAATCCAAGTTTCTTGGACTCACCAAGGTTCTGACATATTTCAAAAACAAAAAATGTTATTGAAAATATTATTTAAAATATCCATGGCTAATAATTTTCCATATTTGCAATGTTTCTGCCTCAATTTCTTACTGAATCAGTTGAAATTTGATATTTTGGGCTATCCAGTATTTAAAAAAAAAATTATTTGTAATAGATCCCTAAAAAAGAAACGTAAAAAGTCTACATTGATAAAGGTCCCTAAAAACTGTTTAGAACCGCCTGTGCTACCCTCACCTCAGGCGAAGAATTTCAATCGAAATTAA